TTTTGGTTACTCTGATATTTTTTTTAAGAATTAAAACTACTTATAACTATTTTACCTATAAATAAAACTTCCCATTACTAAGGGACGAAACTTTTTTAACTTTAATTTTTTACGGAAGATATACATTCACACACGCGCGCGCGCGCATATATATATATATATATATATATATATATATATATATTTAAAAGTATGTAATTTAAAAAAATCATTTAATTATTTTAAAATAAAGAAAAATTATTTAATTATTTATTTTAATAAACAAAAAGTAAATTATATTTTATTAACTAAATGTAAAATTATTTAACCTAAAATATTAATAAATGGTATATATAGAAAAAAAAAGTTATTGAATCTAAATTTAGATTCCTCAAATATTTTAAAAGAAAAAAAAAATTGAAGGACAAACCACCAAGTCAATGTGGTCAACGTTAAGTCATCAGTCACCCACCCAACTTAATACTTAAGTTTATAAAGCGTGTAGACTGGTCCACAGTTGTTTATACACAAAAATAGAATGATTTTTTTTCTACTTTAAATTTTTTATATGATTTAAAATAAAATTAAAATTCAGAACGTTTTCTCAAATTAAATAATTCCTAATATATCCAAACGCGTCTTCATATTACATGGGAAAATGAATCTAACGTGAACAAAAACACTTTTGGTAAAGGGAGAATTAATTTTCAGAAACTGAAATTAATTTTTTTTCTTATTTAACTAAAATTTATATTCTAAATTAAATTAGATTACTCAATTAATATTTGTATATTTTAATTAGTTTTATTCTACTATTTATATGTAAAGCAAAATCAGATTATATTTTTTTACTATTTATTTTAAAATTATACTTTTTTTCTCTGCTTTGTACAATACAAAGATTTAGTTTGAAATTAACTATTCTAAAATCGAATTCTAAGTGGTTTTTAAGTATCCCATTATTTTCTTATAATACCAAGAGTGTGTTTGCTTATACTTTTGGTTTTTTTTTAGATAAATTTATAATAATGAGATATTCAAATCCATTAAATTTGAATTAATCATATTTTAAATTGTTTACTTTTTCTTTATATATTATGTTTTGATAAATTATTTCAAATTTTTGTAAATTTAATTTTTTTATTTGGATAAAGTATTTTAATTATACTCATTTAAAGTTAGGACAAACTAATTTAGATTTGACTTAAATCAAGTCGACTTGATACTAGTTCAAATTAAACCATTTTATTTGAGTTAAGTGTCAGTCAAGTAATTCTAAAACTTAATTGAGTTGTATTGACCTAGGTTTAGATCAGACTAAGTTAACCCAATTACAAATCAATATAAATTAGTTTAAATGAAAATAAAGTAAAATTAGATTTAGCTAAATTCAAACCGAATCAATTTAAAGTTAAGTCAATATGAATAGATTCAAATTCAAGTGAAATTTTTTAATTTAATTTTACGTAATACAATTAGTAAAACTATAATAAAATTTTATAATTTTAATTTTTTTTAAACTTTTTTGTAAAGACCTGAAAATAGAGTATTATAGAGCAGATTGGTGTATTAGAATAATGAGATAGATTATTTTACTTTAAAATAATCTTATAATATAAATAGAATTCTTATAAACACTTCTCATTATTCTAAGAACATTTCATCTCTCTAGAACTCTATTCCTCAGAGTTATGTGAATTCTCTCTAAGATTTCTTCTTGCTGAGTTATCTGTTCAACGATCAGGAAGTGCCTAGGCGATCCTGGCGTTGAGGGCTCGATTTTGGACCGATCAGTTTCTCGTTCTTCAGCTGGTAAGTTGTCTCCCTTTTCTGTCCGTTCTTCTCTGAGTTGTGAGCATGCAATGATTCTGGTTGCATGTGATTAACTAGTATTTCCTTCCTTTTCTAGCTCAATTTAGGTTATAAGTGTTATTCTCTATCACCAATTGGTGAGTTGTAGGTTTCTGTTGAGTTTTCTTGTTGTGCAAGGTACGACTGAAACGTTTCTGGTTTGGGACTGTGTATCTCTGAGGTAAGGGAAGCTAGGTTGTGGTTTAATTATCAGTTGTTGTTGTATGTTAGGAATTCTATGATTAAGTGTTGTGCAGTTAACATTTCAGCTTATGAATGTATGTTCCTCACTGTTAAAATGGTAGAAACTGTGAATTATGATTGATGAATTGATTTGGATTAATCTATATGCTGTAATGTGTGCAAATTGTGATTGTTATTGACTGAGATATGTTGTAGTGTTGAGGAAGTATAGGGTAATGTGAATTTTGGACTGGTTTAGTGTATTTGAGAGGAAGTGAGATAGTGAATTTGAGTAGTAGTGGTCAAGGGCTGTTAGAACTGCTGGGGTAGTGTAGATAGGTCATATGTGACTGGTTTGAGTCACCACAATGGTCAAAAACAGGTTCCAAGTAGTAGATTTGGTTTTGGGTCTATAAGTTGATGAATTGGAGGTTTTAGAGTAGAGATTTGTGTATAAACACTTGAGATTGGTGTTAGTAATGTTTAGAACCCTTTAGTCAAGTTTAATTTAGTATATATATCGAATTAGAAGTGTTAGAAGTTGGCCAAGTTGAGTGGAAGTGGTAAAGAGTGGTTGAGTTGTGTAATTCTGCAGAATTTCGTTCTGCAGATTATGCAGACTCGCTGTGCGAATGGATTTGCATAGCGAGTTACCTTGGCGAGGTGCTCTCTGCCAATGTACCCGCATAGCGAATGGGTGCGCTGTGCGAGTGAATTGAGAGGGTTGCTCTATGTTTGTCAATCCGCAAAGCGAATTAGATCGCTATGCGACTGGTTGGGGTCTGGAACTATTATTCAGTTTATTTGATTAGCGAGTGGGTCTCGCTCTGCGAGTGGTTGGGGGTGTCAAGTCTCTGGATGAGGTTTTGGAGTAGCGAGATTGGGTCGCTATGCGAGGGGTAGGGGTCTGATGCTTTTCATACTTTATTCGTATAGCCAGTTTAGCCGCTATGCGAGAGATCCAGAGTAGTTGGTCTCTGTCTAAGGTTTTCCGCAAGGCGAGTTAGGTCGTTGTGCGAGAAGCTTATAGCCTCGCTAGGCGAGTGTGTGCGCTATGCGAGGGGTACGTTCTAGTTCAAGTTTTGTGTACTCTTATGTTGTTTGATATGAATCAATGAGTGTTGTATGAAGTAAGTTGAGGTTGTATCATGTAATATCTGTGGTGATTGTGGTATGTTATAATCAAAAAGTGTAAAGTTTCAGTATGGTATGGACGTAATTCCATGATCCTCAAGGAGAGGAGACATGGTGGTGCCTTGTTGTGATTCAAAGTGGAATCTCTAGTTGAGATTCAAGTAAGTTTAGAATGAATGTAGGAGCTTAGTCTTGGGGGTTATCCTGAAACTCCAATAGTCTTTCATTCTCAAGTAGAGAGGATTGATCCATGTCGTGAGGAGTAGCAGGAGGTCCTAGTCTTGGGTGCTTCCAATATGGCCCAAGGTGAGTGATAACGGACTAACCTCGTGAGTGTGGTAGGGTGAAACCCATTGGCAATGGCTTTGCAAAGCAGTAGAAGCCACCACGAGTGCATGACCTGTCATAGCTCGGCAATCATTCTAAGTCCGGACAGTCAGAGTCAGTGTGTGTTATGTATGAAGGGTTCAAGTGATGTGAATGTATAATATGCTTGTATGAATTGAAATAAATTGTTGTATGATTTATCTTTGTTTAAACTAGCTTACCCTGTTGTGTGCTTATGTTTTGTATGTTATGCTGTTCTTCTTCTGCGATGACCATCCTTTGGATGTGAGCAGCAGAAGAAGGGGTCTCTTTGGAGCAAGCCTTGGATGGAGGCGATGCTGCTGCTGAGTAGTAATTTCTGTTCTTTAGAGCCTTGTATATAGTTTTGGAATATTCTTCAGTCTGTATATAAAGTTTTAAATTTATAGTTGTTTTTGGATGACTGTAAAAATATCACTTTATGTCTTAGATGAATAACTGTACTTTTTCTTTATCATACATGTTGCTTCTCTTTATTATAGTTTACACTATATATATTGGGATGTTACATTTTTTATCTAAATAACATATTTTATTATAAATTTTTTGGAATTCATAAAAAAATAATTACCCTATTTAAACCAAAGCATTTTCCAGTTAATGAAAAACAAAATCAAATTTATATATATATATATATAAAATGTACTTAATAGAAATTCATTGATTTTAACTCCTTTTTGCACCTGTACATTAATTTTGTAGCAAAACAGAAAATTATGGTTATTCCCTTATATTCTATTCATATTAATTCAACACTTCAGAAGTTTCATAATTTGGATACCACGGTTTCTTTAAGATACAAGAAAAATTATTGGAACATATTAAGTTAAAAATTAATGGTTTATAAACTAGATATATACAAGTTTCTTTCCTCTTTATTTTTAATTTAAGGTTTAATTTTTGTTTTTTATTAAATTATTATTTAATCAATATTTAAATGCATATCTGCATACCATCAAACTTTTGCTTCTGTAACTATCATATAGGATCTACGATTTAATAAAATAACTATTGACATATATGTTATAATATGATTACAAAATAATAATTTTAATATAAAATTTTTAATTCTATTAATTTTATTCAAATTTAAGATTTTTTTAATTTACAGTTATCCTATAAAATTATCTAACAGTTATTAAAAATTTTAAAGACCTATTTAATTATCTTAATTATTACCATTAATAAAATTTAAATAAGACATATTTAAAATTAATGTGTCATAATGATTTTATTATACCGAGAATAAATGAATAGTTATTATTTTATATTCACTAGTGATTTATATTTATAATAGTAAAGGTTTAAAAACTTTAAAAAAGATAAGATTTCACAGTAAAGTTTAACTACAATTCTTTTATTTTATTTTTTTAACTTTTAAAATATAAATTTAAAGTTTAACTACAATTCTTTTATTTTATTTTTTTAACTTTTAAAATATAAATTTAAAAGTTGACGTGAGAAAGTCGTCGGCAATGATTTGTGGTCGTCATTATTGTATTGTTAGAACTTTCAACCAATGAGTAGAATGGTTGCGATTTGCTCCTAAGCATTGCTCCTGAGGCTTCACTTTCGACGGCAACAAAGAAGGTTGGTCTCTTCCATGTCTCTCTCAGGTAGCGATGATGAGATGGAAATGGATTTTCTTCGTGAGCGGTACCAGGAAATGGACGGCGGAAACTTTGAAGTGTTTCTGAGTTTCAGAGGGGAAGATACTCGTTCTTCTTTCACTTCGCATCTCTACACGGCTCTTCAGAATGCAGGAATCTTTGTTTTCAAGGATGACGAGTCACTTCCACGGGGAAAGCAAATTTCACCCTCTTTGCGGCTAGCCATCCAAGAGTCTCGAATTTCTATTGTTGTTTTCTCAAAAAATTATGCAGAGTCGTTTTGGTGTATGAAAGAGTTGGAGAAAATAATGGAGTGTCACAGAACCATAGGGAATGTGGTACTACCAGTGTTTTACGACGTTGACCCCTCTGAAGTACGTCATCAAAGAGGCGACTTTGGGAAAGCATTTCAACATCTTTTAAGCAAGTTTTCTAAAGAGGAGGAGAAAAAGGTTCTGGATTGGAAGCAGAGTTGGTGGAAGACTCTTCGTGAGAGTTGGTGGAAGATTCTTCGTGAGATTGGTGGCATCTCAGCGGTTGAAATCCTATGTTCCAGGCAATGAAGCTTCTCTGCTTCCTCAGATTGATATTAATCTTCCTATATCACAGATTTTTACACAACATTGTTTCCAAGAATAACATTTTTCAAATTCATAACGTGTATGTAGTAGGATGGAAAGAGTAGACAAACTCCAGGACCATTGGAAAGAGACACTTCTTGAGGTTGTACAGATCTCAAAGATTTTAGACTTAAATCCAAGGTAATAGAAAGTCTTCGTGCTTTATTA